CTGCTGTCGTAGCTGAATGAAGAAGGACTGGGCCGGTAGTACGGGATCGGCCGCTTCCGAGCACTGGGGAGAAGAGAGAAGGAGAGGACAAAGTGTTAGCAGTCACATCTGAAACAAAAAACTGTTGGAGATATATACATAGTTATCTTAACATATTTACAATATATTAAGATTTGGTTGGTCAAAAGAAAATCAGTGTTAGGCTTCAGAAGTGGGAGACTTGTGATCAGTGCAGGATCTGAAAGAGAGCAGCTATGTGGGTTAGAAAAGCTGTTCACCCCCCCACACACACACACACACACAGCGCACACACAGCAATGAAATGCAAGATGTTAGTTTAAGCTTAGGTTGCCTTGTTAATAGCCACCCTGGAAGTGCCTCCTGTAAGGTAATTAGCTGTTAGCGCCCGAAAGAACCCCTTCTTCTCTGTGGAGGCCCACACCCGGAAAAATCAACAGTCAACAGTGCATGGAGAGATAAACACTATCAAGGTATCCCTGCTGCTACAAGGTATGTTTCACCTTGTTGTTTCAGTGGTGTGGGTAAAACCACCTTAGCTTTTGTCTTTTGTATCTGCCATGGGAGTCCACAGCCAGCACAATAGGGGGAATCCACTTAAATAAACCTTGATAGCATTTTAATCTCTGTGTTACAATATTAGTGCATAACCTAAGTGAGGGTCAGCTTTACAGATGTGTGAGTTTCTTTGTGTAAATTTCAGGGAGAAGATGAAGGAGCAGTAAGAGGACAGGAGGAAGGAGAAAGCTAGGTTTACTCAGGGGAGTTCTGGTGGTGTGCTGTTCGGCCGAGCTTCAGGAGTGAGACTATCAGGGTCCTGCTGCACGGCAACTGTTACCAGGGTAACCAGCCTGCAGCAGCTTAGTTCAGCGGCATCCCATTGTCTTGGCATCAGGATCTTTAGGACTGGAGTGAAAGATGACAAGGTACACACATTTCACACCTGTCTATGTACATCTGTATGAGAAGGAACAGAGGTGACACTGAAGATTTGTTGTTTTACACCACAGAAACACTTTTCATCAGTATTTGGGAGTTCTCTCTTTTTATTTGCATAACAACTGTGCACTACTACAGGTCTGAAGAAGCTTCTGTGGCTAAAGGAGAAGCTGTCTCACTTATCAAAACATTGTGTGATATGTTTCATAATCAGAGGAGGATGCAAATCTGCTCTTAGTATGGATGGAGCTTGTAAATGGTTATAAAGCAAGTCATTGCTTCATTTTTAACATAACAAAGATTGAACCCTTACAGAAAAATAATTAAATCTGGTAATAAGCTCAGTACATATTTCCTTTTAACATTTTTAAAAGATATTTTATTCAGCATTGATTTATGTCCTTGTTGTTGTTATGTACAGTGTATATTAGTGTTTTATGGCTTTAGTCTTATTGTGTTCTCTTTTTATTATCTTGTACTGAAGCACCATGTTACATTTATGATTGGGGCGGCTGTGGCTCAGGAGGTAGAACGGGTCATTTCCTAACCGGAGGATTAGTGGTTCAATTCCCGGCTTGTCGAGGTGTCGTTGAGCAAGACACTGAACCCCCAGTTGCTCCCGGTGATGTCACCGGTGTGTGAATGGGTGAGTGGCCAAATAATGTGAAAGCGCTTTGAGTGTGCTGTAAAAAGCATAGAAAGGCACTATACAAGTATAAGACCATTTACCATTTCAAAAGTGGTATACAAATAATACTATTATTGTTATATTTATTCATATTTAATTACAACGCAGAGTGTATAGATCAATTTGATATTACAACAATATGAAAGAAATAACCGCAAAATTTAAAGAAATGGTTCTTTATCTGGGAAACATGTATTTACCTTCTTGATGAGAATTAGATGAGGAGACTGAAACCACTCATATGTCTGCATGGCAAATAAAAAGCTACAGCTATTGAACATAATACAATCCAGGACAAGACCACCTTTAATTATGACCTCAATTATAAACATAAATTTGATTGTATACATTTCCAACAATTCCACCAAAACAAACCTTTTGAGCTTCATAACAACAGATGTTGTACACCTGTACAACTGAATGCCATATTGGAATTGCATTCAATTGTACAGGTGTACCTTATACCATGCTTAGTGATTGGATTAAAGCAGGAAATATCATTCATATTTTGTGTTTGGTTCAAAACCCTCCAACTCCAGCCAAAGCAAATCTACCAAACCAAACATCCATCCAATCATCACATTCTTTTCCCTCAGGAAGTTTTTTACTTTTAAGCTATTAAAAGCTGAAAAAAATTCTTTTTCACTGTTTCATTTAATTAGTTCTGCTGTATCAAAGTCCATGCAGAACATAAGGTGCAGATAAATGAGAACCTTAAAACAAAAGAAGGAGGTTCTTTTGTGGTTGTAGTCCGCTGTGTTACCTGGTGATCCTGCGAGCCTCCATGAAGCTGGGTGAATCCCTTCTCCTTTTGCGAATGGGTGAGTAACTGCGTGAGCGGCGGCGAGCTCGGCTGTCAGTGTCGGAGCGGTTGGCACTGTCCCTCTCTCTGTATGACATAGGGGGGTGCCAGTGGGACAGCAACAACACATGAGAACAAACTAAAACCACAAATTAACAGAGTAGTGTGAGAGAGGGTGAGGTTTCACCTGGAGTTGTTCTGCCTGTTGTGTGGGGACTGGGCCTTGCTTGGGCCTCTGTCTCTGGGTGCAGAGTGGGAGGACGAATGGCTGCTGCTCCAGGAGCTACTGCGCTGTCGGGGGCTAGCTTTGTTACGTGACTCCCCCTTCTTTCTTCCCGATGTGTGCGAGTGTCGTCCTGGAGATGCCGACAGGCTTCGATGGTGCGCCTGACCTCGACTTGAGTGGTGGTGACGCTTGGAAGAGTGGCCACCCTTTGTCCTAGAGTGATTGGCAGTATAACACAGACAGTATCAAGAAATTCTGTCTCAGCAGCAGTGACAAGCCCTATACATTATCTATACCACTAATCCTAACAAGGGTCACAGGGAGGCTTTTGAAGCCAATCTCAGCTGAGATTGGGCGAGAGGTGGGGTACACCCTGGACAGGTCGCCAGTCTATCACAGGGCTGACATGTAGACAAACAACCACACAAACACTTACTCCTACCTGCATTTTAGAGTCACCAATCAATCTAAGATGCATGTCTTTGGATTGTGGGAGGAAGCCAGAGCACCCGGACAGAACCGATGCAGGCACAGGTAGAACATGCAAACTCCACACAGAAAGGCATCGGGTTGGCCCTTCTTGCTGTGAGGCGACAGAGCTAATCACTCTTCCACCATGCCGCCCACAAGCCATACAGTGAGAGACAAATGACAGACTTACTTCTTGGGGTGACGAGAGCTCCTCCCTCTGTGAGTGTGGTTGTGCTGGGAGTGGGCTGAGTCACTGCTGTGAGCAGGGGAGTGGGAGCGCTCTTTCTGGCCTCTCTGACTCCTTCTCCACCCTGATGTCTGGGTTACAGAGCTCCCTATGGCTGTGCTCCTGGCATCCACACTCCCAGGGTCTCCTGCTGCACACATTGGCCCTGTTTGGCTCCTACTGGAGGCACGGTGGAACTTGTGCTCTCTCAGCAGAGTGGACTGGATGCTCACAGACCTAGCAGTCAGCAGATGGAGCTTCTGTAGAGAAATTATGACCAACAAAGGGGGAAAAAAAGAAAAAGGACAAAAAGAGCATTAGAGTGTTTTCAGGTTGGTGATTGAGTGCTACGGTGTACTTGCCAAAAAAAGGTAAACATCTTAAAAAAAAATCTAGGATTTCTCCATATGGCTTATAGATAGTCCTCTATGGTGCAGCGCATGCAATACTTGGCATGCAAAACCATAATGAGTTGAAGAAATCATAATTGCAAAAACAAACAAATATTAGGAAGAGGAAGAAGAGAAGGGAAAAATAAAACAAAACTGAGAACCAAATAAGTTAAAGAGCAGAGGCAGAAAGTACAGAGCTACAGATTTGGTAGAGTAGAAAAAGAGGACTTCTTCAGTTATTTTAGTAATGATTTTTAAAAAATGAAACAAAACAGAAACAACTTGACGGAACATCACAGAAATGGAAGGAACTAAATAAATATCACAATCATTGAATCTACCGAATCAGAAAATAAATCATCTGCTACTCAATTTTCTCTTTCTGGATTTTTTCCTGAAGACAATTGCTGAGATGTGAACAGCGACCCTTTTTTAATGGTTACTCTTGTTTAACTCCCTTCTGGTTAACATCCACTTACCAATAAAGTGGTATTCCCTCCTTTAGTAGGTAAGGTATGAAGAAAAGGGAAAAGTGGGGCAACATAAGTGCATCATTAGATTCACAAAATGCAAGAGAAAAAGACACAAAACCCTTCCCTGCCAGTGACTCATGAGACAATGCATGGAAATCAATGGAAAAGAACTCAAAAGAGGAAAAACCACAATGTGCAGGGAATCTCTCACACAGAGAGCAAATCCTTTAGGCCCAGTCCCCTTCCTAAACATCAGAGAACAACTGGTTGGCAGTAACATGTATTTAGATATTTTCTTTCGGTAGAGTATCTACCACAGGGAAGGTTTTATTTTACTGGGTGACATGTTTACTGGATAGCTTAGCTTTTACTGGTCACAGTCTTTGTTTGTGCTCATGGGCTCATTGATACAGGACACTTACAGTTATCACAATAGCATTGTTAGTGTAGTTCCAGGAATTACATCACGACAGAGACTGTTACAGTAGGTTACCACTGTGACTGACCTGGGTTCAACCACATTTCATGGCAATCAGAGGTCATTTTTTGGAGGAGCTGACTAATGTAAAGCCCCACCAAAAACATTCGGTCAGTGAATGTGAATGGATCCTTTGGGATTTTAAAGTAAAAAGATATTTTCAAATACCATTAGCAGTTTTCAAAATGACAACTGTATTCAGAATAAGGCTGACAACATTCTCTATTCCTCTTATTCTCAATAAATCCCACAGTAAGATGATAATTTATTCCTCTGTGCCATGGAGCGCCGCTGTTGTTTGAAAAGTTAAAAACTCATTAGTGTGTCACTCTGGCTGACATGTTACCTCATTAGCATGAACACAGGTGCTATTTAGCAACATGCACTTCCACACATTGCACTGGTTCTGTGCAGTAAATGCTCACTAGGGCGCCAAACATGTATTAATGTGTGGCTGAAAATAGTACTGAACAAATACACTCCTGTTACTACCTGTTTCTCCAACGAGGAGTTGGTGTATTGCATAGTGAAAACTTCAGTGCCTGGCTGTTCTAGAGCTATTAGCATGTTTGGTCCAGACTGAAATATCTAATAGACTGTCATGAAACTGTACAGGCATTTGTGGTTCCCATGAATCCTACTGATTCTGGTGCTGCCCTGACTTTTTCCTCTGGTACCACCATGAGGTTGACATTTTAGTTTTTTTAACAAACTGCCTCAACAGTCATTGGATAGACTGCCATGAAGTTTGTTAAACACACTGACATCCCCTTTTGGATAAATTGTAATCACTGCTGTGGCCCCAGACGTTTTATCATCATCAGGTCAAAGTTTGAATGCGATTAATGACAAACCTCCTGGAGATCTAAGTATAGCCTTGCTACTTACTAGTGTGGCTGTTGACTCTTAGTGCTACATATTTGTGACCCCTTTTTTAAATATTCTGTCTTCTACAGGGAATAATAAATTTGTGGCTGAATGCCACAGACATAACAGGGAAGTCACACATTGCTGGTTTAAGTCGTTGAAAAGGATTTGCTGCTAATAAGAATAATAGAGTAATGTCAGTCTTACCCTTTAAAGTGTGTGTGGTAGGACCTGAGTTAAATATGTTCCAAACTTCAATTTTAAACAACAAAAATAAAACTGGGATAAGTGATTCAGTAGGAGTTTAGGGGCTGAAACTTGTGATGCAATTATGCTCATTGTAAGCAGGTCATCAAAAGAGATTTCCAAAAGTTGTTCTGGAGTTGGCTCTTTTGCATGAATTACCATGTGCTGCTTCATAATCTAAGACACATCAAACGCACCGACTGATCTTTGCAGAAAGAAGAGCCGTTCTCCATAACTCATAAGTTATATACTAAGATAACACACAACCACTGGTGCGATATGACATTTGATAGAGACAGCTGTGAAAATCAATATGGTGAAAATCAGAGGATAAATATACTAATTCACCAACAAACAGAGTGATGCTAGACAAACAGGAATGCATTCTACCAAAACAGAAAGTAAAGATAAATGGAAAGAAATGGACCTGGAAGAGAGAGTGGGATATTGGACTTCAGAATGAAGTTGAGGAAAGAGAAAAACCAGAGCTCTATGTATTCCAATCTTTTAAGTCAAATCATAATTGATGAAGTTAAATTAATCTGGTTAACGATCACTGGTAAACAACAGAAAGAGAAAGAGAGAAAGAGAGAGAAACATTGACGTCACTCAGGCTAGGGTGCTTGTCACATTCTCATCTGCATAAAGATCACGTGCGTAGGCAAAGCATTACCTACCTTCCATTTCAATCAGTGACACGTATGCAATATCAACAAAAAAGGAAAGAAAGAAAAAGGAAAAAAGGAGAAAGGAATGTTCTCCGCAGCGAAATGGGAAAAAGACAATGACCTCTTTTAGTATCAAAGCTACATATTTAGTCCAAAGACTGAGGAGAAATAAACAAAACAAAAAGTAAAAAAAATAAATAGAAGGGAGAAAAGTAAAAAACACAAATGGAATTTAAACTAAAATTAGAAACAAAGGATGAATCTATAAATGACATGAGCTGTTTTGTCTTTTCGCTTGTACAAATGCAACCATATTTGTATTAATAATCAATAATCACCTTTATTTGGCCAAGTATGTTACACACAAGGAATTTATTTCCGGTACAGAACCAAGGCAGCCATCTGCGGTGCCAACTCAACCAATGGCTCTAACCATCAGGGGCAACTTGGGGGTTCAGTGTCTTGCCCAGGGACACTTCAACATGTGGACTGCAGGCACCAAGAGTCAAACCTCCGACCCTCCAGTTGGGAGACGACTGCTCTACCCACTGAACCACAGTCACCTCACAACTGGGGGTGGGATAGAGGTAAATGGATAGAGTTAATTGTGGACATTAATTAATTAATGGACATCCATGTAACATAAGCTGTAAAGAGGAGGAGGGTTGGGGAGGTTGGGTCGCATGCATAGCTGACAGATGTGAAAGATGTGGGGGGAAAAATGTCAGGACACCAAGAGTGAGATGTGAGTCACACAGGATACAGATGAACAGGTAGGGGGTAGGGGAGTGTTGGAAGGGCAGTCACCGTTAAGATGGTCAACTAAGAGACTGAGCAACTGACTACTGAGAAGAGACTGAGAAAGGGACTACAGTCACATTTTGGCCCTGGTCTTCTTCTTCTTCAGCAACAGCACTTCTCTGCTTTTTTAGAAGTCAGCTCTACTTTCTTCCAGACCATCTTTTTTATCGCTATAAACACAGGTATGGAGAGAGAGTGCCAAATCTGCTGTTTAAACCGTTAGCATGAAGAGGGAGCTTACTGTACATTCAAAATGGCTTGGATCCCTTCAAATTAACAACCATGTTAATAAATATGTGAGTTGTCTTAGTTTCAGGAGTCCATGTATTCCTGAAGTGCTGTAATGCATCTATTAATAATGAGCAAGAGGACGACTTGCCACGCCTGAGACTGTCCCAACAAGTGCATGGGAGACAGTCTTCCTGTAGTGCAAGTGCTTCATCAGAAAATGGGAAAGTGAAAAAGACCTGCATTTTCCAAACTAAACATTCATTCATTCATTTTCTACCGCTTAGTCCCCCAAACTAAACAGTTACTCTTCATCCTTGACTGCTTGCCTTGGCTGCTGCGTGTGAATTCTGTCTTGCTTTATGTTGCTTCCCTTGTCCCTAGAGAACTACTGTAGGTTCTATCAGTTTCTCTGTTGAAAAAGTTGGAAAACATTTTTGAAATCATAGAGTAGAACTTATCTTTGTGTCACTTGTCCATGTCAGTTTTTACAACAGCTTCTTCTGAAAGATGTAATAAGTTCATCATCGCCCGCCACAATGAAAAAGCTGTAAACACCCACCGCAAGTGTTTTTTCCCCACTGGTCACAAAAAGCAACAAGGTGTCAATCAACCACTTAAACAAAGTTGGCCAAACCACAAAAATTGGGATCTGTGCTATATTGGAAGTGTTTCCCAACCCCATGTTTCAGTTTTTCAAGAGAGAAGGGTTTGAGGAGAATGACTAAAGACACCATTGAATAGCTTAAAAAACACCCTCCAGTTTTTGGCTGGAGGGATATGCAAGACAGTTTTTTTTAACTTTCCAAAACTTGTTAATTCAACATTCACACCTGCTTTGTGCTGTGATTGGACAGCTGTACAGAAGGGAGGAAGCAAGAAGGATTTGAATTCTACACTATTTCTGTCTCTTTTCAAGTGAATGACGACACCAAGTCCTCAGGATAAACTGTCTGAAAATGTATTTCCTTACACATATTTTTTTTTTTAGCAATTATTGCCTCTTCCATCTCTCTACAATAGCTTTCCACTCTGTCTTCCAGTGTGGCCATTTAGAACAGGTTTGAAGACTTCTGATTTCTGGGTGGCTGGACAACAACACATTGTATAAACTTTCCCACATCTGATGGAGAGCAGTGCACAGCTGTTATAAAAAGCATCCAAGACTATGTCCTCTGCAGAGGATGAGACAGTTCCAGCGGCAGCTAGAGGGTGACTGCAGGAACACAAACTGAGATAATAGACAGAGAACCAGAGCTGCTATACAGAACATTTGCTAAACCACACTACTGCTGCAGTAAAATCAAACTTCAGTCAGATCCAGGTCGGTCACACACTGTATAGCCATCCTCCTGTGCAAAGTTCGAGGGTTATTATATTTGGTGGAGATTAACAAAAGTGGCAACATCACCTTACATTAAAAGATGGTGCTTAAAGAACATAAGCCAATTAAATGCTCCCCGTATACTACAGCCTAACTGAATGGCTCAGAAGTACACGATCTAACAAACCTCCCTTGCCATTCTCCACTGGCCTGAACAGAGTAGAAACAAAAAGTCAGGGACAGAAGAGATAGTGCCACCTAAGGGCAACATGCACATCAACATAGTAAAGTAAAGCAGTAGAGAGGAATATGTGTTTAACCCCTGGTGCTATGGCAGGAGCTGTTTAACGCCTGCAGGAGAAAAGGATCTACTGTATCGCTGAGCAGAGCATGTGCTTGAGAAGAAAGACAACTGTGCCGACAAGAAGAAACTATTAAACATACCCAGTTAACCTACTTGGTCCAGTTCCAAAGCATTTGAGTGCTTTTTATATAAATGAGACAAAGATTTGGGCATTTATTCATGGGTAAAGACAACTTAAACTGATAAAGAAAGAAAAACAAGTAATGAATGAAATAAGCAGAGAGAGAGATCAGAGGACACCTGACAGCTACATGCAAGCTGAAGTAAGAGAAGTAGGAGCCGTCAGTTCTCTGGATGGAGTGTTCACAGGGTGTTTGCAGTTCATTTAGGTGCTTATTCCTCAGGAGATTGTTTCACAAGGGATCTTTTTGTCTAAGTGTTGTGTTTTGGTATATACCAAAGTTCGCCACCCCTGGTATATACCAACATATTGGCATCCTACTGTATGATCCATTTACAGTATGGAAGAGTAAGGTTGTTTCCATAATTGCAGGAAGTCATGAAAACCATCCTAAGCAGTGTCCTTTAGTTAATCAGAGACTAACAGAAATAGTTGTTTTCAAAGAACTTAGAACAAACAAGGAGCAGGTCCAAATTGAAGAGGTAGAGAGAAGTGTGATTCATAACACTCTGGGCTTTATTAGGATATCATGGAGTATGTGGTGCAATTTCTTTCTATTTAAAGAACAGAGGTGACCTCTATCATCTGGGTGCATTCTGTGATACGTGATATGAATTCAGCTGCATGACAATACAGTTTTAGGACACAGCTCAGCTCTAAGGAAGACGTAAAAGGCCTAAATAAAAAATTAAGCAAAGAAATAAGTGAAATACAATACACTTTGTTATAGATATGTATGGTGTAGTAGTATTAGATTTGACAGTTACCTTTGTGATCAGCTGTCAGCAGTTTTGAAAAATCTTAATCAGAAATTTTACTAAATGTAAAGTCAAGAGAAAATATTCATTTATGATTTGTTACATATAAAACGTGTCAATTTAAGTCTTTTTTAAATGATCAAAATCCAGTCTTTTCTATTCCTGTAAAATGTATAAATATTTTTGATGATTAAATGCCTGATTGATCACATTTACACATCCCCCTGATCTAACAAAGCAGGCGATGAAGGTCTGAGCAGAGGACAAGTCTTCTGTGCAGTGCTGATTCACTACAGTTCCATATCTTTACACTATGAACTTATACACTAAACCCCCCCACACTTTTGAATGATCCAATTACATTTGAAAGATCTGATTTAAATCCCTCTTCTAACTAAACTGTCATGTTCCTACCCCGCTCCTCTTTTGAAAGGACTTCCTGTCCCCGGCTCACCCTGCCTACCGGGAGCTTTGGTTCATCACTCACATCAGCTGCACCTGCTCCTCCATTACTTGCACCTGTTTTCACTGCTCTCTTGTTGTTGACCGCCCCGCCTGGACTCCTGACCTGCGTATCTGCCTTGCCCTATTCTTGCCTGCTTTGCCTGCTCTCCTTTACTCCAGAGCTCTGCTGCACGGACTATTATAACATTCTGTTACTCCCCGGGACTGGCTCTTTAATTGGGTCCCTACCTTTACCCCTACGGAGGCTGCTCACGCTGCCTTCTCTGACATAAACTTACTCACATTTTTTGTTTCACATGGAAATACATCACCTTACTGAGGCTCAAGACACTCAAACTTCCCTTTCACTGGTACTTTATTGTAAGAATTCATGTCACATTAAAATGCATTCATTCAGTAATTAAGGACAAAAAGTTAGTTTTTCTTTTTTTTTATATTTAATTATGACATAGTAAATGCACACACAAAAAAGAAAATAAGTATTACCGTGTGAACTATAATTCGCTTTCTTTGTTTGATGTATTTTTATTTAGGTATTTTAAATCTTCCATACACCCACCAGAAACAGATGTTACCTGGAATGGTGAATGGCACCTTGTTCATAGCTATATTTTGTTAAAATTCATTTCGGCATGTAATTGGATTAGTCAGTTCAAGGAGGAATCTCAGATATTTATCACTTTAAAACACCATCATGCATCTGGCTGTGGCTCTGGTAACACTGGCTAATTTAGACTTAATCTATTCCTATTTACAGTATTTGCTTTGATATTTCTTAACACACATGGACCTTTGTGAGGGAGTTTGAAGTAGTTAACCTGTCCCTAGCTCAAATGTTTAAGCTTGTCTTATGCCTTGGCAGGCACCTACTCAGATTAAACACATCATTTTGCTCATTCATTTGTTCTCATCTGTTCATTTGTTCTGGTCCAACTCCTATTTCCATCTGAGGTGTGGTATGCTAGTGTTGTGCCCTGACTCAGAGGAGGTGTGCTGCGCAGAAACACTAGAACCTATCTTCACTTTTCTCCCTCCCTCTATTACCGGCAAACAACAAGAACAAACAAAAAAAACAAGGCGGCAGAGGAATCAAAGGGAGCCAGAAACAAAGCAGCAGAAACGAGTTGTACACAGGACACGAGCGTCTTTCACACATCAAAAAATAATCATATTAATGATAAAAACTGTCCTTGAAGTAACTGATAAAAGGATGAAAAAATCTTTCCATGTCAAAGGAGATGAGAATTCATGTCAACCCACACGAAAGAGCAGGATAAAACTCATTTAAAAAGTGTAGGAGATACCATTGGAGTGGTTGGAACGGGTGTGGGGGTGTGGGAGCAAAATAGAGGAGAGTACATACATCGTGTCCTTTCTTGCCCTCAGCGCAGTTGAGTCTGCCGGCCTTGCCGTTGCGGCTTTGCTGGATGTGGTCCCCGTTGTGCCACACGGTGGGACTGTTGGGGCCGGGGGACAGTGAGGTGCCGGACATCTTTTGTCCATCCGCCTTGTGCTTGGAGTTCAGCCTGGAAGAGCAGAGCCACACAGAAACACACTAGCTAAAGCACAACCACCTGCTTCCTGGGAAACAACACTGTAAAAAAGGTTCATGGTGAGAAATAAATTTGTCTCATTCATACATGCAGTAAATTGTGACTTTGTTGGCCTAGATTGAATCTTGTATTTATTAAAGTGCCAGAATTTTGCACCATAGTGAATGATAAAAGTAGAAAAATATCACTTTTACTCCAACTTCAGACTAAAAGCTAACTTAAACATTCTGTTTAAGGGACGATCACTGTATTTGTTTGTTAAACTGGGTTAGGGTAGATCCCACTAGGTTGGGAGTAGACTAAAGTGCATTAGCAGCTGCACACACCTTCTGAAACATGCTTGGCAGTGAGTCTACAAAATACCATTGTTCATAATGAAGAACAATATGTATAGTTAAAAAGAAGGTAGTCTACTGTTTGTATTTCCTCATGTGTTTTTTGCATTTATCAGGTGTGCAAACAAGGCAAAGCAGGCGCAATTCTCTTTCCTGTGCCAGTTTGTTTTTCAATTCAGGCAATTATTTTTTCAATATTTGTATATATATTTATATAATATAAAATAACACATTGCTGTTAATTCACATATTATTAGAGATACTACTGGAGATAATAAGCCAGGGCAACCGCTCAACAATCAGTGCACATCTGTGAACGTGTTTGTTGAGGAGTCTACCTGGCAGGAGATTTGTAGGTGCTCCGAGTGGAGGAGAGGGAGGCGCTACGGGAGCTACAACAGCTGCCTTGATGCTGTGAACTCCTGCTGGGGGTTTCAACAGGGGACCTGATGAATAACAACAACACACATCACACACACATACACATAAACATCCATGTGTATGTATGCATGTAACACAGGGAAACACACATTCCACAATCAGCTCAGTGGTCAGTCTCCTAATATGTGCAAACAGTTTACTTTCAGTATAGAATTCTGATCAAGACCGGGCACAGTGTATGACATGGACACTGTACTGAATTCATATATAATGCTAGGAAGATGCACTCAGTGCTTTATACTGATTAACTTTCTCTGAGTCTAAGCCTGAGATAACAAGTGTAAAATACCAGTAGAAATTAATGAGACACTAAATGGAATTCCAGTTGTTGAGGACTAAGGTTGTTGTTCACTCTTTGCTCTTCTTTGTGCAGAAGACAAACTGTACATAATATATTCACTCATATACACCGATCAGCCATTATGGCCACTGACAGGTGAGGTGAATAACATTGATCATCTCTTTACAAAAGCACCTGTCAGTGTGTGGGGTATATTAGGCAGCAAGTAAATATTTAGTCCTTGAAATTGATTTGTTGGAAGCAGGAAAATGTAAGGATCTGAGTGACTTTGACAAGGGCCACACTGTGATGGCTGATGACTGGGTCAGAGCATCTCCCAGACTACAGGTCTTGTTGGGTCTTCCTGGTCTCCAGTGGTTAGAACCTACCAACAGTGTCTAAGGAAGGACAGACAGTGAACAGGTGACAGGGTCATGGATGCCCAAGGCTCACTGATGATGAGGTCGAATCTTAAAATTTAATTTGCACTTTGAAAAGATTTAAATTTATTTGAACCTTTGTTAAAATGAGTGAAATACTCTGCATTGGCCTCTATGAAGAGAAACATTCAGCAGCTATAGTGGAGATATCACACCTAGAGCAGGGAGGCTGTTGAATTTGTGTAAAAAAATTCTAACTTGTCCTCACGGCCACAGTTTTTACTCCTTTTACATACGTTTTTCGCCGAATGGCTGACACATTGTGCTCTTTAGAACAGTAGAAATATGGAAGCAAACAGATTCACAGAAGATGCACAGTGAACTGCAGAGGGACACGAATGCCAACCAGCTGTCACAGTGACTCCTGTGTACACAGTATTAGGCAGGTGGTCATAATGTTATGGTTGATGGGTGTGTGTGTACATCAAAAGTTACTTATAAAGTCTGTGCCACTTTGTTTTAATGATAAACATAGACTATAAGGGTTTCCGCCATCTCAACATTATCATATAAATGATATTAGACGGATTCTATATGCGTCTCACCTCTTTTTCTGTTTAGTTTTGTCTTTGTGTTTGTTCTTTGGGCTGCCCGATCTGAAACAAACAGCATACATTAGATAATGAAGCTGTGGACGGTAAAGCAATGGAAACGTGCATTCCCTTTGTGAAAACAAAACTCACTGTACTGCTCACCCATATGGATTGCATTGTCTCTTGAACAAACAACAATCAATAGGCAGAAATGGCAATAACACACACCTTACAAAAGGGAAATACACACACTGTCATGAACAAGGCCATTAACGGTGGCAGTCATGTTACAATGTATTGTTTTCCTCTCTCATGCATACCTGTATCGCTTCTTTTTTCTGGAGCCAGATGCAGATCTGCAAAAGCAACAACACCACAATCGTTATAATGATGATTCCATGACAGAAACAGCATGTAATTCTGTTCTAAGAAGTAGGTTTACTGAGTAAACTGGGTTACTTTCCAGGCTTACCTCTCACCAAGAAAAGGTATTTTTATATCAGTCTGTATTCCAGATTGGAGGTGGTTCTAGGAATCACTAAACCTGTTTCCTGGAAATTCTAGAATATCAGAGGCAGTATTTTGAATAAATCCTGGCTGAACCCTACATCTAATCTGTGTACCACCACTTTTACAGTATTGCTACCTTTTCCACACTTTCATATTCACTCCACAGAATACTGAGACTATATAAAGCTGCTGAAGGTATGTAAACCTGAAATGTCGCTTAGCCCTATTTAGCTGCAGGGGTGTTAGTTTAAGGGTACAGATAATAGTTCATATATTGGATGAAGTGATTAGAGTTGAAATATTTGTGTACATGTGATGGCAAATATGCCTCTACATACTGTCTGACTGCAAGCAGCATGGTAAATATAGTAAACACAGATGCTGACACACAAAGCAGTGTGAGGCTACAGTAGAAGGATCATTTTCATGTGCCAACTCCTAACACACCATTTCAGCATGTGTTTCTGCACTTGAAATGATGAGTGTGTGTGCACTCCCTCCTTGCTATCAAATCTAAGGCACACGCATACATCCATACACACCGAGATGTAACAGAGGGCTCAACCAGGGGGATCTTCCAGTTTTAAAGGTGCTAGATGTCACATTTATCTTTTCTAAACCTTTGGCTGTAGTGAATGGGTGTGAATGTGAATATGAGTGGTTGTCTGTCTACATGTCCGCCCTGTGACAGACTGGCAACCTGTCCAGGGTGTACCCCACCTCTGACCCACTGTCAGATGAGACCA